AAGGTAAATTATGCGAATATTTTTAAATTTCAGAAAAAATAAAATTTTTTAAAATTTCAGAACACAGCAATAAAATGTTAGGGGGAAAGTACGAGAGGAAATACGGTAATAGTGATATAGATCAAACAATAAGCAAATCTAAAATAAAGTAAACTTTATGTAAAGTAAATGATAAATTAAACTTAACATGTATAAAATAAGCTTCACAGCTTCAGCAATTACTGTCGCTAATACCGAAAATGAGTTCTGAATGTTTTGTTCGTTCTATATGAGATATATTAATACTGTGAGTTGAGACTGTATTAGCATTTATTCCAGTTGAAAACCTTGCCAGTCATATAACCCAATAGACATCTGCCTGAAAAGAATTAAATCTAGCCTGCCATCTTAGAGTTTATAACACGTATTCAAGTTATATCAAAGCTTAAAAAGTTTTGAAGTTTGAAAGATCCAAATGTTTGATTAATAAAAACCAAATAAAATCGTTAAATTAAAATCACTCCAATAAAACCTTTACTATGCAGTTCTGTAGCCTATAATTTTCTCGACTTTTAAAGACTTTTCATGTCAATTTTTCGAAGTTTTTCAACAAAAACTCTAGCAAATAGTGGAGTGTTTTTTAATACACCATGAAGTTATTAAAATTCTTAACAAAGTAAAATGCTATAAATAGAAAAAAGAGAGAGAGAGGAAGAAAGGGGGGAAAACCGTAAATGATTTCTGTATCTTGCTATGTTAAAAAAAAATTGTGAGGAAGAACAAGAAGAAAAATAAAAACCTTTTACACTCCCCTTTTTTTGAAATGCTAAAAAAAATGGAATCGGTGCACTGTGGAAGGAGGAATTTAATCGTCACCATGGTACCGCATTCCAGCGTGTTGCTGTAGAAGCTTTTGATTTGAATTTCTCCACACAAAGGTAGAATGCATGCATACATGCGTATTCTGTGATTTTCTTTGTGTAATTTATGATTTAAAAATTCTCCCGTTTCCTTTGTTTTTTAACATCCTTTTGTGGGATTATACAGGTTTACGGAAACTGATGTTAAATGTTAGAAATATGCTTTAATAGTCTAAACCTTACAAACCTATTACCTTACAAAAATTTATATGAAATGCGAGTGAGTCAAGTGATTGATTTATGATGTCATAGTATACACCTATGAAAAATTCCGAAGTTTGCATTTTTCAGCATTAAGTCCATTAAAACCCATATTTGTTTTTAATTTCAGTATTGGCAAATTATTGTTGGGAATTTTTTTAAACGTGTTACATATTTTTGTTTTAAAAATGGGATATATTTAATACAGAATATAGGAAAACTATTGACTCTGTATTGAACTATTGACTACTATAAATGGAGCCTTTTTTTCTGGGCTAATCTTTTTTTTTTTTTTTTTTTTTTTCAAATAAGAAAGAGACTAAAAGTTATAAAATATTTGTTTGAAGTTAAAAAAAAAATTAGGTACCAGAGATTCATTTTAAGAGAATTTTGGAAACAAAAATAAAATAACTCCGAAAGTAAGGTATTTAGTAAAGCAACACTGGCCTAGTAGTTGGAAGAAAGACAGCTTTCTTCTGATATTTATCAAAAAGAGTGCTGTGTCGGACAGAAGAGAAAACCAAAATGAGCTGGGTGAAAGTTTGACAAAACTACGATATTTTTATTTTACGTACAAAGTTCGATGGTAGAGATAGAAAGATTTTGCGACAGGAGGTCTTATTCTTTGAGCTACTCTCGGGTACTTTCTGATTATTCATATCCCAACCGAAAAGTCGAGAGCTCTTTTGCGACTAATTTTTTTTTGCCACGCTAATGCGAGAAAGGCAATAGCCATTTTCAAAATTTCAACGCACTAAAGATTTCTGAAAAAAAAAAAAAAAAAAAAAAAAAAAAAAACAATGAATCAATAAAATGAAAAAAGAAGAAAAGGATTTTCCTGCTGGAGCTGTGGGCATTTTGACCCGCTAGAACTATGACTCCTCGTGTATACTTTTAACAGCGCACATTCCCGTTTAACAAATTTCTGAATTACAGGACTGAATGTATCCAAATCCCACATCGCCATGAACCGCAACTGTTAATGTTTTTATATTATTAAAATTCATGTTTTTGTTAGAACTTGAGTTAGAAGTTCATTTCAACCCTGCATCATAACCGGGGTTTTGTGTAGCGGTTTCGCCCATTACACTACACCTTTTAATTTTTCCACTTCAAATGAATCTGTCTTTCCATTCTGGCCAATATTAAATTCTGTCAAAGACTGAAGATGATTATTGGTCGTTAGACTGCAATTAAATAATTGGTTGAATACGTAATGGTTGAATACGTAAGCGGACCTTACCACACTGATAGTTTTCCGTATCGCCCAACCCAAATCACTTGCCTACTATTATTTCCCTAATACTAAATTGTATTAAGTCATTTCCATAAATTGTATGAACCTGTTAACAACAAAGTAATTGTTTATCACGAATAATATATACAATATTAAATGTGCACAATACCGAAGCTACAGGCGATGTCAAATTTGCGCAATGATTTGATTTAATTGTTGTGTACAAGTTCTTCCATGTACACAGCGATCTTCTTTCGCTTAAAAACTTCGGAGGATTGCACCAATCTCAGCCGTGGCATAGCGCAAATCAAATATTGCATAGGTATTCATGACGTGATATAAACAGGTTTCACATCTGGCGCTCATCTGTAAATGCGCTACGATTGGACATTTGAATGCATTAGAAAAGTTCCAACGCCTTATAACGTATTGTACGCATGTTTTTATAATGCCAAAGCGCACCATAAAAGACATTTAACGAAAGCTGAACCAATCAATTTGTTTAGCAATACATTCATATGCTGTTACTTAAAATCGGTAAACAAATAGAATAAGAAAACATTTTACGAGATATATGAAGTAAGCAAAACTTCACGTATATACAAACAAAAAATCAAGTCATTCCTCCCAAAGTCCTCCATGAAGAAATCGCTCAATTTATAAGGAAGATTTTTAAACCTTGAATTTTCAATTTGTCTAAAAAATATGTATATAGAATCTACTGATCTAAAACTATAAAATAATGCATAAAAATTGTAAATGAGCAATAATAGCATTTTCTCTGTCGTATATAGTACATAAAATCTCTTAAAATATATACTTTTTGTATACAGAGTGATTCGCTACAACACCGACAAATTTGCATGGTGTGTAGGGGGTACAAAGACGTAGGAATGAGGGTCGCAAGTGTCGTAGTTGCGAGCTATAGTGCAAAAAGCAGAGAAAAGGAACAGAAACAGCAACCCATTAATGGGACAGAAAACATATTATTAAAAGATTGTACGACAACAGGTGTTCGAAATTACGATGAGAAATAGTCAGGCAGGCCTGACAGCTGCACTGCATGAAATTCCTTACGTACTGAAGGATTGCTCCGGCAGTCTTGCGAGAGGTGGCTCTCAACGAAAGTTGCTTGAACAGCGATCCTGCTGTCGTCATTTGTGATCCGTTTCCCGAGGTAATAGGATGAAAGCGTATTCAAATGATGAACTGGTCGACATGCTGATCGTGTATGGAGCTGAGTATTGTGTAACGTTGCTTTACATCCGAACAGGTTTGAACATTCATGATGGCATCCGAACATCTGAACAGGAATCCGAACATAACGTTCCGAACAGGCTTGTTTCACATTAAACGATCTTCGCAAGTGTGAAAAGAAGGTTGGTTATATGAGATTGGTTGCTTAACGAGAGCTACAATTAATCGACAGCGAACGACGAGTACATCTGGCAATGAGAAGGCGGTCTTTTGTGTAGCATAAGACAATCTAAATACAAGTACTCGAGCGATAGCTCAACAGTTGGGTTTATCTCATCCATTGTCTGGAGGATACTCACAGCAAACCAAATGAGCGCACACCATCTTCATCGCGTACAATTATTAACGCCGGAGGATTATCCACTTTGGAGGAAGTTTGCCTACATGGTTCCTGCAACAAATTGCTATAGACAGCGCATTTTTTGCTGCCGTATTGTTCACGGGGAAAGCATACTTCACACGTGAGAGCGACATCATGCGTAACGCCCATGTGTGGGCTTTAAAGAATCATCATCATACGCAACCACGTGCAGCGTAACGCCCATGTGTCAGCGTAACGCCCATGTGTGGGCTTTAAAGAACCATCATCATACGCAACCACGTGCAGCTCAAGAACGTTTGTCGACCAATGTTTGGGCTGATATTCTCGGAGAATACATCATTGGACCGTACCTTCTGCCCAGTCTTTTGGACCATAAGGCATACCTAATTTTCTTGCAATAAAACCTGCCCGAACTTCTTGAAGCAGTACATGTTCCTCCGCAGTTACACTGCTCCAAGTGGTACCAGAATGACGGGGATCCTTTACATTACACGATTGACGTCCACCGACTCCTCGATGTAACCTTTGGTCAGCGGTGGATAGATCGTGGTGGCTTCGTTTATTGGCCTGCCAGATCACCGCCCTATCACGCACGGACGTCGTCTTCTGGGTCACATGAAGAGTTTGGTGTACGAGACAACCGTTCTTTCAGTTGAAGACCTCGTCGCTCGAATATCTGTAGCTGCCGGGATATGCCAGGAATCTTCCAGAACGTAAGGAGTTCCATGTAGCGCAGCAGCTAGACCTGCCAAACGACTTCTGGTCGTAATTTCGAACACCTGTTGTAGTACAAGCTTTCAATAACATATTTTCTGTCTCATTAATGTGTTGCTGTTTCTGTTCGTTTTGCTGCTTCTTTGCACCATAACTCGCAACTACGGCATTTGCGACCCTGCATTCCTATGTGATTTCGAGTCATCTCTGTAGCCCTACACATCCTGCAAATTTGTCGATCTGGTAACGAATCATTCTGTATAAGCTTGCTACTATGAGTACGTATGTAGCATCTTCTAAAATAACAGTCAAATATCTTTCAAAGTAAGTAAAGGAATGGATATTGTATAATTTTTTACATAACTCTTACCTTTCATCATAGGACAAAGTTTATCCCATATCGTGATGCAGCCGTTCCTGTAATATTGCCCAAGAGCCAGTTCGAGATAAAACAAAGGTAATCCGCCGAATACAAGCATAATAACATAAGGTATAAGAAATGCTCCTGTAATAAAAAAATGAATGTTATTATAGATTAGGTGTGTATTTTAAATCATATAATTCATTCACACCTAAAACTAATGAACTAATAGATCTAAAAATTTTTAATGTCTTGAAGAAATATTCTACTGAAACCTGTACGCTTTTATAAAATCAAAATAAAGTCTCCTATGTTTGAGAAAGAAATCTGGTTTTCCTTTTTACTGTTTTACTTTAATTTGCTTAGCCAATCAGCGATCGAGGGAATAAGGTAGCGAAATACTTGTATTTCAATAACGTCTTAAGAGACGATTCAGTGTAAGTCTTAAAAAAAAAAACGGTTCTGCGAAGGCTGCACAGCATCGAGATGAAGTCCTACATCCCACTGCGAGACTCTGTTCTGCAGGAGTTGGTGCTGATTTCCTTCTGATGGATGATAATGCCCATCTCTATCGAGGCAATATCCTTAACGAGTAACCGGAGAATGAAGCGATTTCTTGTATATCCTGACCGCCGTGTTCCCATGATTTAAATCCTATTGTAAATCTTTGGGATGGCCTTTTGCGTGCTATCTCACCAGGTTTACTTCCTTAAGCTAATTTCAGACAGTTGGAAACTGCTGTATTGGGGGAATAACCATCGCTTTTCAGTATCGTTCACCAAGATGCAAGGATTCCATTTCATAACGGCATAAAGGTGTTGGCAAAATTACGAAGTTTCAACTTTGTGAGGAAAGCAATCCTAATAGAAATCGCCTAGACGCCCATGTGAAAGTCTTGTGTCGAGCAGTTACCAACTTGCTTACCAAAGGTGCGGGCACGTTTTTCAAATTAATAATCGCTCTGCAAGACGCAAGGGTGACCCAACTTAAAGGCACAAATATCCTGCAACATTATGAAGCTCGGTAATATGATGAAAGTAGCCATCGCCAAGGCTGTCGGGACACCCATGTGAAGGTGCTCATCTTGGCAAACAGTTGCCTACTTGCATAAAGATGCCATCTTCTTTAAAACATATTATGAAATCATCCGAGTGGCAAGAAATTCTTTCCTTTTGTGCAATGGAATCAAGAATTAATTAATTTACGACAAGCTGAATAGACGACCGAGTTAAGATGCTGAACTTATTATGGTTATCATTAAGATATATTTTAAATTTTTAGCGTATCATTAATTTTTGTTTCATCTTTTTTATTAATAAATTCTACAATTATGATTAATATTTCATCCTTTTTAAAGCATTGATATCAAGTAACAAAGCAGCGTCACAGGCAAGGTGCCTCGGAAAATTTCCCGAAATTCCAATAATCCCACCCACTCATATCTGGTTGAACACCTCATTGAGGAAAACATGGTTAATATCTGTATGAAAGTTCGGGGCATCGGTACCTTATTAATGCAAGTTTGTTTGTTTTTAGCTTTAAATATCAGTTTCTTAATGACCCAAATGTGATATCCTCATATAATTTAGGAATAGTAAACAGTGTCTCATCTTTGTACATAATTCTTATTTCCTTTCGTGCATAAACACATTTGCTACACCTTCATATGCAATTTGGTGTCAATGAAAGCTTTACTTTTCCATTTTTTAAAATTTTACCATAGCGTGCGTAACTTTTGAAAGACACGCATCTAGAAACGCATAACAGTAAATAATTAGCAGCTAATATTACAAAATATGAAAAAATTATTTCAAGCTAAGCCAGTAAACGCGTGTACAGGTTTTTGAGTACTGCGGCATTCCAATAATTCAATGTTTTATCGAAAATGTCCTCTCATTCTTTCAGTAGAACTACAGTCTTCGGTTATTTCATTTTAATTCTACATTGTCGATAAGTAAACTTTCAAGGTTAAATGAGTAATTCATTAAATTTTTTTTTTTATATTTCACTCTTCAAGGTAAACCCAACAAGGTTGTACACAGCTGTCCCAGAGGTTTTGGTAATTCTTAACATACCGATTGCGGTCTATATGGTACCATTTTTAAATGGTGTATTCCAAGTCATGTGCAAAGATTTTTAAACAAATTACTAACAAACTGTCTGCCGTTGTCTGATATTACTTTTACTGGGTATTCGTTTCTAAATACGTATTTTAAAATATAGTTATTTAGAAATGAATTGGCGTCTATTTTTGCTGATGCTCGTTTAAGGGGAACTATTTTCACCCATTTCGAAAAATGATCTAATGTAGTTAACAAATATCTGTTTTTATTTATTTTTGTTCTAGGGTAAGGTTCAAACAAATCAGTGCCAAATAACTCGTTTATAAAAGTGGTCTTAATGTTTTTAAGTACCCGGCCGTGTTGTAATTAACATCATTTATTAAGTAGCACAAGTCACACGACCTGACATACACCATAACCACCCTCTGCAACTGCGGAAAAAATACTGCCTAGCAGATCCTCTGTAAGTTTTTTTCTGATTTCTAGATGTACTGCAACTGGCGAATCATGCAGTCCCACTAAAATATTTAAAAGTAGACTCGCTGGGATCACTGGCCGGTATTCTTGATTCTCATTAGTTATTTGTGTGTAAAAGAGTAATTTATCAATTATTTCATAATGAGCTGCCCTATTGCGAATAGCTCTTAAGTCCACATGTTCAAAATGTTCGGGGTCTTCAAGACATGCGTAAATATCCTTGAACTCAGGTTCCTTCTTAACTCCTCAGTTATTGTCTCACGGGACTCAATAACTTTCGAGGTAGTACATTTGACTGTGTTCTCTTGCTCGTCAATCTTAATTCTTCATAGGACATCGGCAACTACATTTTCCTTTCCTGGTGTATGTTTTATAATCAAATTAAACTCTTTCAGTTTTAATGTCCGTTGTATAAGGCTGTGTGAGAGATTCTTCCCCGAATACAAGCAGCCAGCTGCCGCATGGTCCGAGTACTTTTGCCCAAGACTGGCCTTAAAACGATATCCATAACTTCTGAAATGTAGCCGGAGCTCGGCTTAAACCAAACGGCATTCTTAAAAAGGCATAAACGCCCGATTTCGTAATGAAAGCTGTCTTTTCGACATCCTCGGGTTTCAGTGATCTGAAAATAACCTGACGTCAGGTCTCATGTCGTCATGAATTTAGTAGAACGAATTTTCCTAATGATTTCATCAGTTATAGGGAGAGGATACGTGGGACATTTTGTTATTCTGTTTAGCTTACGGTAATCAACTGCAAACCTCCGTGAGTCCGAGTCCGCGGGCGGTAGCCCATTTTTCTTTCTACAGAGCACCACAGAACTTGCGTAAGGACGGTGCTTGGCGCGATTATTTTGTTATCTAACATTTTTTTAGAAGTAGTACGCAACGTATAATTCTGGAAATTAAGATTCGTGCTAGCTGCGCGTAAGAAATCAACCCTTAAGATTACTGAAGTTAACAAATCCTTTATTACCAGAAAGTTGACATTTTGTCTTTGGTTTTGAATTTGTACATGCAACTCGATTTCTCCCAAACTGTTTTCCGTGGGCGGCAATTACCCGTTTCCAAGTTGTTTTGGATAGTCTGTAACGACGAAAAAGCCTTTTAAAAAATTCTTGCGAGAGAAAGATACACTGAGCTCCTGTATCCAGAAGGGCAGTAGTCGGGACATCATTTAGTAAAATATGCATCTCCGGCAAGGCCAAATTTTGGATCACTATTGTGTTCAACTGGATTTCTGAGGGACTTTTCTTTCCACTCGGTGAACGGGCCCCGTTCAATCACCGCGGTTAGTTTAACTTCTGTTTTTCCGCCCCTTCTTTCTGCCTTGAAATTTTCCCAGGGGTAACTTTCCGAACCTGGATCTCACAACAAAAACTTGACAATTTCTTTATACCAGCTGATAGCCTGGCCTTTTAGGTTCGTCGTAGCTATTGTAACTTTCTCCAGCTGGTTTACTGGATACAGAGTAAAATGCAGGTCCAGCTGGCTCCAGGAAAGTCATCACCGAGACTTTGTCATCGAATGTCGCGGCTGGCTTCATTGCGGATCGCATTGTTTCGACGATGAATCCGAATCCCTCCATCGGATTTGATGAAGTCTGAGGAGCTAAATGTGTGATTACAGCTAAATGTGTGGAACCTTGAGAACTGGTAAGCGAATAATCGCTTTACTTCAGTAGACAGGGAAAAATAAAGTTTACAGTTGGCCCCTCTCTCAGGACGTACAGAAAAGCCTCTACTTGGGCTTGAACTCAAGAATACTAAGAAATAAAACTTTTCTAAGCGTAACTAAAAAGATATAGAAGCTATCAAAATTCTACAAGAGTTGGGCCCTTAGCGCTAATTAAACGGCGAAGCTATCAAGGGTCTGAAATACGGCCGAGCATAATAACAGCTTACAGAGAGTATAGCCAAAAGGCGAATGCGCGCTTGGTCAGAATCTCTGGCTGTCTAACGAAGTCAGTGGAACTTCGACTTTAAATATCGCTCTTTCTTCATTTGCATTTAACCGCGATTCTGAAAACACAATTCTTGCAGGAAATTTGTAAGCTGAAATTAGAAGCGGCAGGAAAGTGGCTTTAACTAAAATTTAACTGTTAATAGCTTGAGATAAACCTTACAGCTCTTAAAGACAATACGCACATGAATAGAATTCATATTTGTTGCATTAATGTTTCAAAAACTTTTATCTTATTTTCAATTACGCTCAACTCCCAAATATCTGTACTAGCTGGATTCTGTACATGCACGCATAATCCGAAAATGACCTAAGATGCAGTAACAATAAAAGCTTCAAATATTTAAAATAGCTATCGTGCGGGCACAGAACATTATGAAACCCAAAGTCTTAAATTCTATAAAATATTTAAATTGTAAGGATCTTAAGTTTTACTAACGTTTATTTTATTTTAAATCTTTGCTATCACTTCTTATTTTCTACTTCCGGCCAGAATTAAAAGCTTTAACTTATTTATGCAAATTTGTTGGCGAACGCCAAGTACTTAAGTTGTGGCTTTTTGCCAAGCAAAGGAGAGGAAGGAGTTAGTAGAAGCAGGCCGCTTGCCTTAGCAGTTTTTACTCGGTTGCTGGTTGCCTTCCAGGCCAGAGGTTTAATTCCTCTTGATAATTTTAAACGTATTGTAGTGTTAACAGTTCTCTGTACTACATACGACGGCTTCCTGTTAATATACGGCCAATCTTCTCGGGGCCCTT